GGCTGCTAAGTTTTCACTGAAAATATATTTATTATATATAGTATATTTTATTAATCGCTACTGTATTTATGATCATTGGCCAAATGTGTTTCGTAATAAAGTTGAATCTTAATTACTGTTCACTATACATGGCTTTAGCCAAATTTCTTAGCAAATGGAGACTGGTTTTCTTGAATTGTGTGATGCATTGCACATTATGTTGGCTAAAGCCATCATGGAAGAGTTTACACATTAAACACTTACTTACGTGAAGGTCAACTTTAAGACTGATATTCTGAAGAGATGTGTTTTTTTGTTGTTGTTTTTTAATAAACCTTTTAGTTGATTTATTATTTTCATTCTGCTATAATTACTTCAGTGGTGTAGATGTCTATTTTCTACCTTCTTTCCAATACTTTTTTCGCTCATCTTTAAGAATGCATTACCTCTTTTTCAACTTTTAACATAATTTTAGTTGTTAATTTTAATAATGCTTTGGAAAGCTTCAGTGACATGTCATGTTTTTTCACCTTCTTCTGATCACCGATCGACTGCCAATCCATTTCTTTGAAGGCTAACTTCATTTAAATTTCATTTGGAGGCTTTATAATGACAAAGTTAGACAATACACACACAGTCTGGTCCCATCCCTTCTCAGCGTGCATTAACTACAGTTGTAATCAACATTATTCAGCCCCCTATTGAAAATCAGATTTAATTTTCAAAATTTAGACTTTCAGATGTTTGCAATGAATAAATACACAAAAGCAATTGAAATAGCTCAACACAATGAATGCTTCAGGTGGTTTCCCCAAATTCAGATGAAAATGCAAATTATATTGACTTCTCCAGTCTCAAAATTATTTAACCCATTCATGGCAAGAATCTTTAGTACTTAGAAGAGCATGCTTTTACTGTTATGACCTACTGCAAAATGAGCCAAGGTCAGGCAGGTAAAGAAATATTTCAGCCACAACTGCCAGAAGAATTGTTCGGGATACAAAGAAAAACCCAAAAGAATTCTACACCAAAACTGCTTCATTAAGCTAAAGTTGTTTTGGTGACTGTAGTGTCCCTTAAAAACAGTCAAATGTTTTGGGGAAAAAGTTTTGCTTTCTACAACATAACCCCACTTCATTTGCCATGCATGCCTTATTCACAAAACTTCTTCCTACTTGGACTGTTGCATTATTACATGATTACACATTTTTTTTTTTTTTATTATTCTTCAAATACGAACTTTGTATGGTGCATTTCAAATGTTAAATGAACTCACAAACTCAGAAGTATCGCAGTAGTTTACTTTTGGTCTTGTAACATCAGAGCACTTTCGTAAGATCACAAAGTCTCAATGCCTCATCGGTAAGATCTAGGACAGGGGTACGCAAAAGGTAGATCCCTAGATGTTTTAAAATTACAGCTTCCATGCTGTTTTGTCATTCTAAGTACATTCTAAAGGCATGCAAAGCATCATGGGGGTTGTAGTTCTACAACATCTGGGAATCTACCTGTTGGGCACCCTGAAAGGGTTAATGCTGTTCTGGACTCAACTCCCCTCGATTCTCGATTCTACGGTCACCACATCAATTGACGGGAGTTCTTGTTTAGCAAATAACGACAGACACGAAAGAGTGCTCTAACAAGTTCTCAATGAGTATTTTTTCAGGGGTAGCATTTATACACAGTTTGTCACGCAATCAGCGAGATTTATCGCTTCCTTATAGTTAATAGTACATACTTGTCTGACATTAAAAAGATAAGCATTTGAGTAAAGACGGGACAGGAACATCCTGAGGTCAAGCGAGGTCATACATCCTGTAGAAGGGAGGCCTCTCAGAGCATGTTTCAGAATGCATCTGACAAGGTCAGCATAATTATTTCAAACATTATTTTAAAGCATATAATGCAAAAGGAGTTAACTATTCCATATCCTTACACACCCCTGATCTAGGAATGAAGCTTTAGATTGGCAAACAAGAAAAACTAATCAATCAAAATGTGGCACTTGAATGTGTCAATATCATACCAGTTTATCATAATAACTAGGATAAGGTTTAGAAGCAAGTTTTAAAAAGTGCAGAGTAGGTCAAACAACTGTATGACTTTAAGAACAAATTGATTTCTTTTTACTATCAGTTTAGTCTGTCTTACATAAAACACCTGTAGTTTCATTTCAAATAACTATGACATCCAACAGATCAACAGTGTGAGGTTCAAATACTTCATTGGAAAGTTTCCGTAAGATGCACAGGTGACCTTAAATCAGACATACTCTTTATCTATTTTATTTTTTACTTTATAAATATATTTTTCCCTTCAGCTGTTTTGAATCCCATATTCAGCCACAGTAGGAGACTGAATGCTGCTGTCTTAGCAGAATCCTATGGATGTAACGGGAGTGCGGTTAGCAGTGATAGGTCAAGATAATACTATTCTGAAACAATATTTAATTGTTACAAAAAAGCAACACTGCCATTTCTCTACTGAAGGGAGAAAAATAATATGTTAGCCTTGCAAGATATGTAATCATGGAACACTAAGTGAAAGCTGCATTGGCAATTTTATTCACCGCACAGAGCTTCTGACCTTGAGGTGCCCTTGATAATGTCATTCTGCACCAGCTTAGTTGTAGCACTATTTTTTACCTTGTAAAATGGTCTAGATTTTGATACTTGACAAGTAACACTTTTCTTTTAAATAGAAAAATGCTTTGACGGGATTTGTAATTTATATTGTCCCAAAAGGTCATCCATTTCGAACCTCTATTCAAAAGCGAGTAAAAGTGTT